TTAAAAAGACACCAACTTAAAATTTATATGAAATTTTCCTCTTATGAATTTAAACATACATTCAAATCTAATTGGGTCGAAAAATCTTCCCCTTCTTCATTATATGTGTGAGTTGTAATAAGCCACATAAGATTTTTAACTAAATAAATGAAAACAAAAACTTTATCCATTGAGTGTGGTAGCTATGAAAATTTGTGTGCACTGTAACTTTCCAAATGTAGCACTCATTTTGCTGAAATGCTATTAGCTTAATTCCTCACATTGCAAAATTAGTTTCTGTAATATGCCAATACATTTGACTAATGAAGTTGGATTCATATGTTATATTTAGCTGACTCATCATTTCCAATTGTCTGGTTATGGAAACTTGATGACTGTTCACTTGTTATTTTCATCTTAACATCATACTGAACACATAAAAGGAAAATGCCAAGGAACATCTATTTTAAATACATGTACTAATAACAATGATTACTTCAGATAACCATACATCTCATTGACAATCGTAACACATCGCCTTATCTATCTAATGAAGCATTATATTAGTTGAAATCTATTTCAAACAATTCTAAGGTACTTAACTTCAAGGAGTATATTTTTTTATATGTATAATTATGTAATAATATGGCTTTTTGCAAATCTATAAATTTAAAGTCTAGATAAACATGCAACTGTTATATCATTACCATAGCTTTCAGTAATAACAATGTATCATCTGACTTCATGTGTTTTACCCTTTGTATTCCCCTTTAATTAAACTGATTCTGGACAAAAGTTCAACCCATCTTTTCTGTACTGTAGATGTAGTTTTTACTATTGATTTATACGAAAAATTAGCTGTCTGACTCATATCATCATTCAGATCATTTCTTGAGATGCATATATTGAATTATCATGATTTCTGATATTTTACACTCTTAGTAGTCTAACAAATATTTGAGAGACCATTAATGGACTCTTGAGTTTGTATGATAAAACAAGTAATGAAGGATGTTTCTGAAAATGAGGGAAATGTGATAACAATCCTTTTATACTATTAAGGCTGACATCAGGCGATCCTAGGAATATGAGGACCTAATTATTTTGACACAAAATTGACTTTAAATTTGTTTTCCCTATTCTTTTTAAGGGGGATGGGGCATCAGGCGTGTCCCTTCTAAGTATATGCCTGATCAGTATCATTTCTAAAAGACTGATAGAAAAATTGCAAGTACTACAAATATTTAATAAGCTTATTCTATTTGGTGTTACTCAATTGATACCAAATAATGTAGCATGCACACAACAGCATATTTTTGGTCTTAACCATATTTTTTGTTAAATAAATCCACAACATATTAGATGTTGGGTAAATATGGATAACCGAAAAAGAGAACTCAAAAGATAATAGACTAGACAGATTGTGATTTAATTGAACAAAGACTACCTAGGATCTGTACCAACACCATATTCCTAAATAGACAAAAGCATTGAAACAATGACAATTGATGAATAATTAAGAGGTTCTTTATTTGGGATAGGTACAGTATTATTTCTTAAGGTTACACCACTGCTGTGAGTACACAAATCATCCTGTTTTTTTATCCAGTGGAAGGTAGAGAAAATAATGCACTAGATAATTAAAAAAAAAGGCCCTGATACAGCAATTAACTCAATGATATCAAGACCACACACAAATTTACTTGGATAATCATGATCATTGAATAGAAGGTACTAATGTAATGATAACGCTTCTATGAAAATGTAGATTATGCAGAAGTGTAGAGATAATACATTGTAACTGTCAAAGTAAACAAAATGACCATTAAAAGAATTGCTCATACTAAAGACATATATAGGTAAACCATTTTTAAAAATTATTTATACTGAGTAAGAAAAGTTTAGCAACAAATATTATAGATTTAATATTTTAAAACTAAACCATACTTCTAAAAATATTAACACATAAATTATTGTAACAAAGAAAATCAAGTTAAAACCATAATGGTCACTTTTTACATGACAAAACAATTTATTAAAAAATTATTTCTGCAACTTTGGAAATTTATAACTGTAAGTTTTTAAATTAAAATATATGTTGCTTAACTTTTTTTACTCAGTATGTATTGATATTTTGAATTGTTTTCTTATTGTTACCAAAGTATGTTGATACTTTTCATCTGGAATTGTACATTTTTTTATTTTTATATCATATTTTCTCATAGATTTTACAGGAGTGGTGTTTCTATTCAGTTCTTCACAAGTGAATAAATATTCAAAGATAAAGACAAGTAGAGTTAACCAATAAGTGGTAAAGTTCACTTCCTAATATGTAACTTAGCATAAATATATCAAGAACAGAAACTGCCAAACCTGTTGTCAACTTATGCGACGTAATGTCTCTGATTTTTTTCCTTGATAGCTTATTTATAATACTTCAACTTCTCTTGAATTTCAAATGACACTTCCTCTCTCTATTTTGTTATATTTAATTGCATATCACTGAAATTACGTGTATGTTACAGTATTAGCTACCACCCCCATCATTTATACATAAAAGTTACAGATAACCAAGGAATAAGTGTGTCACCTGCCATATGCAGTTAGCATAGTCCATGTTTTTGTGTGTAATGCCCCAAAATCACTCTTTATCAAAAATCAAAATAGCAGGTGACCAACTTCATGTCCTGTAGAAGAATATCTGACTAGAATTTGTTCCAATAGACCACTTTTGAGTTCGTTGCATTTCCGTCACAAACTTTGGTTTTAGTGAATATAATTTGTGCGTTTAGGGTCATCATCACTTCCTTCCCATGTTGAGCAAGCGGTTGAAAACATGTGATGCTGTATTGCACTTGTTCAGCAAATTAAATTCTTATAACTGATAATCAGCACTGCTGTCATTAGGGAATCGTGCTTAAGTACCAATGGAACATGCTGTCATCAGGGAATGAATCGTGCTTAAGTACCAATGGAACAAACATTATTTCTAGTTTATCCTGCATAATGACGATCAATGAAGACGCTTGATGAACTTTAATAGGGCAGGGATACAGGCAATCCCCCTACCTGGTAAATGACGTCAAAAGGCATGCATAATTGACAAACTTTTCTGGTGAAGGACATAACTCAAGAGTGGTTTATTCTATTCTGTATTCAAGGAGTTGCAGATAAACAGATCAATGTATATTTAAAAGTTAGCAGAAATGGCTAAAAACATGTTTTGGTATGGTAAACCCCCCAAAAAAGTTTAATAAAAAATCAAAATAGCAACTTCAAGTCCTGTAAATAAAAAATTATGCATGTTCTTATGAATTCTATCAAGCCATCTAAAATGAATTGCAGATTATGAAGAATGACATAGACAATGTGACAACAACAAAATGTAGTATTTTCTATATAAATATTGAACCTTATCAACAAACACAGAGATGTTTTATAAATTGTTCCAAAAGCGATCTTAGTAAACATTTGATATTTGAACTCCTTTAGATTTTGTGCATTTTGTTTGAAGAAAAATCTTCTGTCATATATACAATACAGTTCAGGTACAGGTAAATCATGTCATTTCCACCAATCCAAAATGGGAGAGGACAGTGTTTTAGATGATCCCCTGTGATCACCTAATAGAGTAGACATGCAATCTCACTCCATTCATCATCAGTCTTGCAAATATGATTTCTGGACAAAATTATGTAAAGTTTTGGTTTCAATATTTTTACAAAATCTGAGGTAATATCAAGTGTACAGGATGGGTCTGACTACCATGGTCAGGACGCAATGAAAAAGTTCACATAAGTTGTAGTGTACTTAATAAAAATCTATGTAGTTTTGACTAGAAACATCTAATGTTTAGAATTCTAGAGCCTCAGTAAATGTTTATGAACTGGATAATACTCAGACAAAACAGTCTATAATAGCTGCTATAAATAGAACACATTAACCATGACAGTAATAATATCATCACCATAATTTTATAATTCTGGTCATCAAAAGTCCACTAATTATAAAACAATGGGTAATCTATAGAATCAACACTGAATATAATTAGTTTCTATGGACTGTGGATGTAATTATGCTAATTAAAATTCTTTCTAAATTGCTCAATGTGCTGATGACAATACAGTACTAAAACTATATTCATGACTGTGAGTGTTGACAAAGATATCACTTTGATTATTTATGTATTATCAATATCCTGGCTGAAGCAGAAAAATACAATTACACTACAAAGTACCAAATCATTTCCATTCCTGTGTTGCAGACTGTTTATGACCATATCAAAATAGATGCATTGCTGCATATAATTCTATGTAGGACATGACTGGTGATAGGCCTGAAATATATTTATGTTTGACTTCGGGTCAAAATGTCTGACAAGATATACCTGTTAATTGCCAGGCAAAGAAAACCAAGGACAGGTAATTTTTTCAACTAAGAAAAAACAGAAGGAAATCAAGACAACATCCTCTCATAGAAAAGGAATCAAAATAACAGTACTGTGACCACTAAAGCTTTTATTCCGCTGGCTGATAAATGTCATGTGATGTAAAACAAATGTCCCCCTTTCTATAATGTTCAAAGCATCTCCCTGCATAATGTCAATATACAGTTTTTTGATACATTCTGTATTCTTTTCCTCTGTGTTGCTTAAGAACTTTGTTCACAGTTTTCGTTTATATTCTCTGTGCACTAGAATATGAATAGTGTGCCCATTATCTTTCATCTTACAATCATTATTTTCATTTTAAAAGTATAAACCACAATGAAACATCACGTTTATAGTCCAGAATCCTTAGTATGCCCATGTGCATCTGTTTTTACAGTGTACAGATTTACAAGTACAAAAAGGAATGGATTTTACCATACAACTTCCCTTCATCCCAGGTCAAATTGGAGCTAATCAATTGATATCCTTCTTCCAAAACAAGTTTCCATAAGCCAATTACAATTAGTCCAAGTGAAAAGAAAGGTGTACATATGATAATGTATTTTCTCAATTTCTTACACAATCTCCTTACCTTAAATTAATGAATGTTAAATTTTGTAATCGACCTATGGCTTCTGGTATAGCTTTGATAACATTATGGTAACAATTTAATTCCTCTAACATGGCATGATCACAGACTTCTTTCGGCACCTCTGCAAACCTATTCTTTGACAAATCTACAAACAGAAAAACAATATTTTGAAAATTTGTCATGCATTAGTGTATTTTCATCAAAATTTCAGGTAAACATAAAAGCATATAAATATCCAAAACAGATAAAGGATAATTCTAGAGTGGACAACATGTTCTACTTACGCCACAAGTTAGCCACAGAATACCAGCTAACACCACAAGTAAATGTAGTTAAACCAGATCCAGCAACATTATATAAATGGAGCAAGCTCAGTTATCCTCTGAAAGAGGTCAAGGCAGAGAATCATCTAAGGTAATGATAAGATTTGGAGTATTAGCCTTTTAATGAAGTCTTGTACTTTTAAACTAAACTACTTGGTGCCTTAATAAGTATTTTTATCTAGTTTGAGAAGTTACCACTGCAAATTCATTTTAGAACAAGACCAATACTTGACATGGACAGGCGACGCTGCCTGCAACTGATTGAGGCAACATGTATTACTAGAGCAAAACTGATCATATTCAAATTAAATATTAAAATCATTCACTTCAAAAGGAGCCAAGAAAAGTTTAAATTAAATTTTCCTTGTACAATGAGTGTTGTAAAATTTCAAACTATAGGCAATCAGGAAGTGACTAAACGGCAGATGTAAAAATTGCTAACACCCTTCAACTCAACATTACCAAGCTGCAGACAAAAAATTAAAGCACTCCCTTACATAGAAGCCAAGAAAACTAGTTTTTTTTCAGACAGACAGACAGGTCTAGCAGTTACCAGACCTGGTTCCGCCTTTGACAACACAGGTAAAAGCGTAACATTCACATCTTGAGTCATGTCAAAGTGTCATGATTGGGTGACTTATATAGGACTTATTAATGATGCAGCCATCAGTAATCAAATGTAAAATAACAATGAAATAAAAAACTTAGTTTTAGTATGAACAACAGAGGATGAAAGTTGTTTAGAATTGGATTTCACAAGTAATATTAACCTTACACATCTGATATAAAATATACACAGAAAGATTTTACATCAAACAGAAAGATTTTACATCTGTCTACTGATATAATACTACTAATTGTCATCAAAAGGCTTTAATTTCCACACTTATCCTTCACCCATAACAAGATTACATCATGCCTTTTCTGTCTGTTTTATTGTAATCATTTCTCTGGAATGTTAAATTGTTTGATGCTTCAATAAATCGATAAAATATGTTGATAATTAAAGGTTTCATATAAGATTTTGTTAATTATTCAATAAAATTCCAAATATTTACATGATCAGTTCATACTGCAGAAATCAATAACTACCTCATGTGTTTTAAAAATGTGTTTTACAATATTATTTTTAATTAATTACAAAAATGTAATAGGAAAAATGCTGTCAACTATGTTATTGCAATGCAATCATTTTTGTTTACACCTGTAGTACACAGAATTACTTGTCTAGTGGTATTGGTTTTGGTTGAACAGGACATTAACATGTATATCTACTTTGTAATTTTTGAAGTTTTTATCAAGAATGTTATTTTCTCTCTCTTCTATGAACTACTTTTACTTATATACATTACTGTCTCTAAAAGGTGAATGTTTACTGATGTCGCTACCTGCATCAATTTTCCGTTGAGTTGTGCTGATTTCTTTTTAAAACACCCTGAACATGTTTATTTATACACATTATATATATTGGTCATGACATTGAATTGTGTTTTTTGTCCTTTATTTACACCACAATTTCATGTAATTAGATATCCTAGATTTATCACCTTTTATACCTTAAAATAATGTCAAATTGCAGAAAGACCCTCCTCTTAAATTATTGAAATCTGTAATTTCTTGGTGTAAATTACATACACCAAATCAGCCCAATGTCAATGTGAATGTACATATGAAAATATATGATCAGCAAGGTTTTTTTTAACAATTTAAAGAATAACAAGATTCTATATAAGAAGGAAAGAAGGCTGGTGTACACTTTAATAGATTTGATATCTAAACACTGATGTATATTACATGTACAATAGATTAAATTCCATACCTTAAAAAAATAGGACAAACAACAATTATTTTCAACATTTCATTTTTTAACTATGATAGTAGTGACAATTGAATTAGCCAAAAAAAAAAGCCCTGTACAAGACTGATACCTTCAATCATTACTCTACCCATAATAGCATGTAATGAAAACATTACCTTTAGGTGGATAATTTAAGTATGAATATTACACTGCATTTCTTCAGAAATAACTGCCACCCCAACATTGGAGTTAAGTGGACATACAATATGCCATTCAAGCAAACTTTCTTACACAAAGAGACATTTGTAGATATTTTTATTTTCCTTTGTATTGTATCTTGGCATAACTAATTAAATTATCAATTTATACCAACCCTATAAACATTCATATTGGTGCAAATTTCCTAAATATATATCACAGTTTAATATATGTTAATTTACACCCAGATTTCACTAAATATAATTGGATATCCTGCATTTGTCATGCTTTACCCTAAAATAAGATCAAATTTCTGAAAGACCCCCTAAAGTTATTGAATTCTTTCCTTTTGTATTAACCATAATATATGGAAGTAAGTATGATATACACTTAATCAGTCTAACGCCCACATGACTGTATCTAATACTTACATACCTTCCTTTTACGCCTAGAGTAGGCTTTGTTCTTACTTAATAAATAAATGTATGCATCTGGCAGTTTTATCTTTTTAAAGCAGAACAGAAACAGTGAACACATATAATAGTACATACAAAGTGTATATGTTGGTAGCAGTTCTTTTTATCACATTAAAAATTTAGAAATATTAATTATTTTCTTCAAGCTGAATTTTTCCAACACATATGTGGTTGGAACCTCTTTCTTTCAACTAGACACAATCAAAGTCATCATGTGACCTTGGCATCTGGATTGACAGTATCTATCATTTTTTATTACACATTTTATACAAAATTATTGATTCAAATTGGCATCAATCCTAAAGATGTAATAAAGTTTTCCAAACTTTCAAATCTGTGTGCCAAGTATTTAAGGTGGTACAGCTTTACACTAATATAAGTGAACTCAAATTTAGGATGAGAAACTATGACTAGGATTTGCAGCAAAATAATTCATGTTTAATAAAATTCTGAATATATTTTGGCAATGTTATAATTTTTTTTTTAATGCCTTTTTTCATTTATAAATATCTCATAGGAAATGCATTGCTTCTCAAAAGAAATAATTAAACTCATAACAGACGTAATCACAATATTTAGGTCATAAAAATAAAAACACAGATATTTAAAATACAATTGAAAACACTATGTTGTACTTTTAAATAGGTCAACAGTCCTCATCAGTAGTTACATAGATAACTGAATGTAATCTTTCATAATCATTCCCAGTGTCTTGCCGATTGTTTACCCAGCCATGTATATTTTACTTAGGCACTGCACCATCCATTCCTCTCTCTTTAAGGGGCTTAGGGTTCCTGTTTTTTGTTGTTGCTTTTTTACCCCTTAATTAGGCCAACTAAAAAGAATTAGTAGATTTTCATGCAAATGTTTGAAAAAATGGGGCGGGTGGGTGGATTTTATTTTTTAATTTTTATTTCCTCCGAAACTCCTTTACAATGACTTCTTCATAAGCAAGGGTAATAATAAGCTTATGTCATGTTTATATAAAGAATTCTACATATTTTTTCAAATTCTTAAATAAATTAAATATTTCTGATTGGCAACAACTGTTCTGCATGTAATTGCAGCTTTAGAAACCTTATTTAAGTAAATAGCAAAAATAAGGAGAAATGCTCCCTTTTAGACTACCTACATCAAATATGTTTGCTTTCTAAGCTACTGTTTGTAGTGCCCATGAAATGAGGTGTATGCAACACAAGTATTATGAGTACATTTATGTACATAGTGAAATGAAAACTCAAACTGTGTTGAAAATACTAGGGTTGATGCTTTTAAGATTCTTATGCAAGGTGCAAATTGTTTTTATTTGATTAAATTACAATGTAAAACATGAACTTAACCAAAAGGAAGAAGTTGTTTAATGACTCTATTGAGGGGCTGGGGACAGAAAGTGTTTGATGTTTGTCAACAAATAAACGACGGGCTGGGGACAGAAAGTGTTTGATGTTTGTCAACAAATAAACGACAGCCTTGGGGTAAATCTAAGGGCTAAGCCTTTCTTTAATACATTTTGTACGTTGGCTGACTTTTTGTACTCAAAAATATATATGACTATAAATCGCACAAGTTAATTCGTGCTTATGTCAATTTCTTCATTTCAGTCATGTTTTTTTTACCAATGTGGTCCACGATTCTTGCGTTTGGATATCATTCACAGTCCAAATTTCCTTGCACAAAGTCATTGTTTAAATAAAAAAATTCACTGATACTGCGATTTGCCTTTTTGGATACCGCCTATTACTCATAACCGAGTATTTCATGTTCTTCCGTAATCAGTCTCTATTCTCAGAAGATACTGTTGTCATCATAGAGTAGCAGAATATGTCAACTTAATCATTTTGGTTAAATTACTCAAAGAAATACGAAAACAGAAAATTGCAAAAGGAAGTTTTGAATGAAACTAAACTATCAACGGTTACCGATAGCGGAAATGAACAAAATCCGGAAATCTTAAATTTTCAAAAATAAAAAAATCGGGGCGGGCGGGGATGATGAAAATCTATCGATTAATTTTAATTGGCCTTACTTTAAATAAAATGCTCCACTGGGGCGCAGCTTGATACGACCGCAGAGGTCGAACCCTGAACAGTTGGGGCAAGTATGGACACAACATTCAAGCTTGATACAGCACTGAATTTGGATTGTAATTAAATATTTAACACAGCATAGGTTTCTGACACAGAATGAATGTGGTCTAAGAACTTAAAATTTTTTAATTTACCTATTCAAACCATATCATTATTATTTGCTTTTATATATAAATCAGAAATAACCAATTTAAAATGGAAAATTTTAAAGAAAAAAAAGGAAAAAAAATCCCCCCCCCCCCTAAATTTTTTGAACCCCTTAT